TATGTATATATTGTCAATAAAATATTTTGAAATTGAAATATGATGACGTAATAATAGTCTGCAAAATTACTTAAATGTTACTAGTCATAGTAAGTGAGAAAACAGGCAACAACGACACATTTAATGCGATTTATACAACTATGTACAACTATTCAACTACAATGTATTAAATCAGGGCATACATGCACGCATCGCCCGTTTGCACACAAACAACCATCAGAAATGTTTTTAACAACTTCTTAAATAAAGTAAGACAACTATCATTAATAATATATTGCAAAATTTATCGATACACAATGTCAACAATCTGCTATAAGTTATTATTTGGTCTGATAACAGATTCGGATGAAGGTATTGGCGAAACTCCCCGACCAAAGAAGGCGAGAACAGCTTTCTGCAACGACCAGATCGAGGCTCTGGAACGGCATTATCAAGCTCAGAAATATCTGCCCGCTGGACAGAGGTCAAGACTGGCAAGGGAACATAAACTGACGGACCAGCAGGTACGCTTACTGACCAATTACTTCTACAGAGAAGATACACTAAAGATGAGATAAATTGAGATAAACTAGATTCGGAAGTAACCTTACATATTTACAGTACTTGTCCAACTTGTCAACTCATATATTTCGGGAGGAGACTGAAACTCCCGATTTGGACTCTAAAATCGTACATTTTCAACCAGTGAATTTGCTAAACTATTCCTATTTTCCAAGATCTGATGTTTTCATCTAAAACAACCGAACAAAATGTGCCATATACTAGTGTTAATTTTCTTTAAGGTGTACATACATGTACATGTAAACATATGTTCATTTATGTTTTTAATTCTAAGTACACGTAATCTTCCCCGCGGAAATTTCATAAAGTTGCATACTTTCTTTAATACCATGCGTAGTTTTCTCTTGGTCCCGCCGATTTACCCAAACGCAAGTCCCTACCTATGTACCACTTCGATGTTTCTCAGAAAGTAATTAACAATTCCGATGTTTTAGTTTTCTTTATTAAACAAAAACAATAATCTGGAGAGTTTGAATTTAACACTCAAGACTTTTCCTCGTTTTTTTTCTGCTTTTATTTGTCGTAATGAGGCACGGCAGTCTAGTGGTAGGACGCCGGACTCGTGACAGAAGGGTTGTGGGTTTGAGTCACGGCACTGTGTTTTATATTTGAGCAAAGACACTTTGCTCCGCTTGTTCCAGTCTACTCAGCTGTAGATGAGTACGTGGATGGGTAGTGCTAGAATTGTAGAATGCTAGCTGTGAGCGCCGAAATGGCAGCACCGGCTGTATGCTCCCCAGGGAGTTGAAAAAGTAACCACGGATAATAATTGAACTGCTTTGAGACGACCTACGAACTAGGTTGTTATAAAGCGGTATATAAGAACCTCGAACTATTATTATTAATTATTATAATTAAAAACAGCTAAGAAGCTAGGTATTGTTCATTGAAATTATTGTCTCCTAGGTAACGCTTTGTTCATATGATATAAAGTTTGGCTTGACGTTGCTTTATGGATTAAGTTTTGTAAAAATCTTTTTTTGTTAATGAATTCTATTTAAATAAATCCATTCTTTTCACAGGTGAAGACTTGGTTCCAAAACAGGAGGATGAAGGAAAAACGGAAAAAGAAGGATGAATCATTTCCAGGAGGCATGTCCCTTCCGACAGGTGGCGTTGATCTATTGCAGTTACAGGCACTTGGGATCCCCTGCCCCCCACCGTACACAATCAACAACAAGCACCAACAAATGATGAGGGATGATGATATCACGAACTTTCCTTCGCCAGCATCAAGTCCACACTCACCAATGGTTCATTCAATCAACCATGTACCATTTTACTCAAGATTTCAGCCAATGACCAACGGCCTTGACACTTTAACCAGCTTTACGTCATCGACCAATCATATAGTTGGTTATAGATAACAACGGAAATGAATCAATGACTGTTCAATCTTGTATCTAATGTGCAATATTTTTATTTTGTTAATTTTGCTGTATCGATCCACTATGTGCCAAATGAATAAAATATGACAGAAAATTTCATTTATTTTTATATTTACAAATCACATCTTCAAAAGATGAGTATAATTCATACTATAAAGTATATATTATTATATATTCTCGATGCACGAGAAAGGTGCGAGATTCTACGAAGAGTTATCTTTCTTGTTCCATACAAACTTTATCTCCTGAACCTATATATATATCCTTTATTGGGAAGAATAAACGTACCTGTAAAAAGTCTTATTATAGTCATTTAGATAGAAAAGCCATTTTTTATAAGCTCTACCACATTATATATGAAGAACCATTTTTTTCAGAATCATTTGTTATGCCAAATTCGGGATTTATTCACTGCGGCGCTCATTCGGCTGTAAAATATTAAAAATTGTAATTGTTATTCCCTGTTAAACGTTCAACATTTAGGGTAATAGTAACACATGGTTCACCTGTTGTCAGTATAATGTGACCAGGTGGAATTCTATTGTGAAAACCTTAAGCATGGTATTTCAGTGAGGTAGCACTATAAAGTCGGCATCAGCTCCAACTAATCCTGTCTCCAGCACACAAGCACACGTGTATGGCCTTTAATGACCTTTGCCGTAAAACCAAAAGTTCGTGGAACATACGCACCAAACACTTACGGAACTCAAGACGTCATATTCCTACATGCGTGGTATAACAGTAGATATGAGTCGAAATCTACATGTGATGTACTTGGACTCTGTCAAGCTAATAAAACAACACCTAAACCCACTCCAACTTCGTCTGCAGGGGATGAAAAGTCCCATATCCAATTCTTAATCATCACACACAAACTGTTATGCAACATCTGAATCTGATGACAACAGTTTTTTTAATCTTCTAATATAAATATAAAGTATCTATCCATATATGACAAGATACAAATTGATAACTGTATGAATAAATAAAATGATATGAGTTTCTTTCATGGGATCTAAGGTCAAAACAATTCCAATGGACAATTGGGGCCTTAAGGGGAGACAACTCAGACAATATCATGGAAAAAAAGACAAGAAAGAGTAGTAAGGCGGTTTGTTAAAACATTTATTAAAATATAAAGCAGAGAACATTTTCAAAAATAATAAATGTGTTAAAATATATCTTTGTTAACATTTTGCAAAAATATGATGATGAAAGCGCTATTTTTTAACAACTTAAGATGATACTTAATTCATTATTTTGTTTCCATAAAAATATACACAAAATAAAACCTATACTTCAATGCAATTTAGATCACAAAATGGTTCTAATTCGTTGATACATTTCATAACAAAATTGTCATTACACATGCACATTTACAATGAAATTGCGTACTGTCAACTTAAAACAAGCAGATGAAAGAGAGAAATAAGCTGGGTTTTTTCTTACGAAAATGAAATCGAAAGGAATGTAACGTAAACAGTATATGTATGTGTAATTATTTTTGACGTTTTTTAAGCTACAACATTCATTTTAGAAATAACTGTTCCTTTTTTTAAACAAGCGAAATCGACTGCACAATCTAAGGATTGTATCGTTAATCAGTTTCCTGCATCATCCTTGATGCTCAAGGGGTTACGCCCACTAACACTTTCTGCACAGAACGTAAGTGAACGTAGCCCCTGGAGTATCGAGGGTGACCATGGATGTTAGAATGGTGATAAGGTTGACAGAGAGAAGGAGCCGTCTAACCTATATCGCTGGGTCATTGTGTAGTTACTAGTAGATCATCTATGTGTGGTCTTATCACCATTCTTACATCCATGGTCACCTTCAATACTCCAGGGGCTACGTTCACTTACGTTCTGTGCAGAAAGTGTTAGTGGGCGTAACCCCTTGAGCATCAAGGATGATGCAGGAAACTGATTAACGATACAATCCTTAGATTGTGCAGTCGATTTCGCTTGTTTAAAAAAAGGAACAGTTATTTCTAAAATGAATGTTGTAGCTTAAAAAACGTCAAAAATAATTACACATACATATACTGTTTACGTTACATTCCTTTCGATTTCATTTTCGTAAGAAAAAACCCAGCTTATTTCTCTCTTTCATCTGCTTGTTTTAAGTTGACAGTACGCAATTTCATTGTAAATGTGCATGTGTAATGACAATTTTGTTAAGAAATGTATCAACGAATTAGAACCATTTTGTGATCTAAATTGCATTGAAGTATAGGTTTTATTTTGTGTATATTGAAACAAAATAATGAATTAAGTGTTAAAAAAATAGCGCTTTCATCATCATATTTTTACAAAATGTTAACAAAGATATGTCTTAACACATTTACTATTTTTGAATATGTTCTCTGCTTTATATATTAATAAATGTTTTAACAAACCGCCTTACTACTCTTTCTTTTCTTTTTTTTCCATGATATTGTCTGAGTTGTCTCCCCTTAAGGCCACATTATCCATTTTAATTGTTTTGGCCTTAGATCCCATGAACGAAACTCATATCATTTTAATTATTCATTCAGTTATCAATTTTTATCTTATCATATATGGATAGATACTTTATATTTATATCAGAAGTTTAAAAAAAAAATGTTGTCATCAGATTCAGATGTTTGCATAACAGATTAAGAGTTGGATATGCGACTTTTCATTCCCTTCAGACGAAGTTGGAGGGGGTATAGGAATTTTCTCATTTTTTTTTTAACCTTGACAGAGTCCAAGTACATCACATGTAGATTTCGACTCATTTATGTTGTCGTGTGTGTATTATGTACGTACTGTAATACCACGCGTGTAGGAATCTGACGTCTTGGGTTCCGTAAGTGGTCATTTAAGGCCATGCCTCAATGCGTGTAATACACGTGTGCTTGTGTGCTGTAGATAGGATTAGCTGGAGCTGATGCCGACTTCATAGTGCTACCTTATTGAATTACCATGCTTTAGGCTTTCACAATAGCATTCCACCTGGTCACATTATACTGACAACAGGTGAACCATGTGTTACCATTACCCTAAATGCTGAACAGGGAATAACAATTACAATTTTTAATATTTTACAGCCGAATGAGCGCCGCAGTGAATAAATACCGAAAATCATATTTTTTTCTGGCACCACAAATTATTCTGAAAAGAATGGTTCTTCATGTATAATGTGGATGGTGCTTATAAAAAAACTTTTCTATCTAAATGACTAAATTACGAGTCTTTGCAAGTAAGTTGATTCTTCCCAATAAAGTATTAAAAGGATAGGTATCAGAGATTACGTTTGAACGGAACAAGAAAGATAACTCTTCGAAGAATATCGCACCTTTCTAGAATAACCTTCTGTCCTCGAGAATATATAATATATACTGTATAGTATGAATTATCCTCATTTATTGAAGATGTGATTTGTAAAAATAAAAATAACTGAAATTTACATTTTATGAAAAAGAAAAATAACATTACATTATATGAAAAACAAAATTCATTAATTTAAGCCACATTGATACTAATGTCAGTAATAAAATACAGTTTCTAATCCTACATTTAACAGTAATACACCTTTAATACAGCACTAAAAGATAATTATTAAACAGAAATATAAACAGTAAACCTTTCTGGAGCTAAAGTAGATGAAGAATTTTGCCTGAATCATGATGATTTTAGTTGGAATGGATTTTTGGAATTCAGAAGTTTTGCCAAAAAGTATAATATCTTCCTTTATTTCGTATGTTTGGTCAGTTTTTAAGTTTATTCATACGTATGACTTGCTAGAAGTTATTTGTTATTTGACACTGTTTAAAAAGATGTTCTATAGTTTCTTTGCTTTCTTGGCATACATTACATAAATCACATTGTTTGATTCCAATTATTTTCAAATAATGATTAAGTTGAAGTCTTCTTGAAAGAAGCCTGAAAGTGAACCATTGAATGCTAGTTTTAAGTCCAAATATAAAGTTTTCTTGATCAATCATTTTGAGTCCACCCTCACTATAGTCTTGAACAATTGTTGAGGGTTTTATTCTATCAATTGGTGATTGCCAGACATAATTGTATTGTTTTTTGTTCAATGATTGAATTATGTCTTTACTCGGAGTAAGAAGAGATATAAACAGGTGATTCATTTGATTCATTTTTGCAATGATAAGAGATTTAAAAACAGTTGTTCTCCCTATAGGTATTAAAATTCCGAATCATATTGCTGGATAAACATTGTTTTACTGACTTTCTGTGATGGTATATATATATATATATCAATTACGCTAACAATTAGACGTCTATTTTACTTTATATTTAAACATTTGCACCAAAATAAATACGTTTTGATTTAAACTTTAGTTAAATATTAACTTATTGCCTGTTTTACTTAAACTCATCACTTATAATCTAGTTCCGTGAATTAATACATTGCTTGCACTTAATACTATGTTAGATTATCCGGATTTTTATTTTTTGTTGTCGCTGAAAACGTATTTATTGAGCAGTATAGAGTCAAGAGGGAGGGGGTGCTTTATTTTCGAGTTTCTCGGCACTTTTGAGGAGGTTGGTGGCCCTAAAACGGCCAGTTTATTCATAGTCTATGGCAATATAACACAAGGAAAGTTAATTGAATTGTTATTTAATATGATATATTTGAAATATCATTTTATATAATGTATCTCGCAAAAGATTGATGAGTCGTATAGAACCCAGGGACCTGTGCATTTTTACAGGTATATTTGGACCTAAACTAAGGTGTTTAGAGTAATTTTAGACGATTGGGGGATTAGATCGATTTTCGATAAAAATGCCACCCCCATGATCATACATGTAAAGTTACTCTAAACACATGAGTTTAGGTCCAAATATAGCTGTAACAAATGTTCAGGTTCCTGTAGTATTCGGGAAAAAACAATTGAAAACCAATGAATCACATGATCAAGCTTCAAATTTCTGAAGTTCCCGATCTAATTCAGGGTTGAGGTACTTTATACCATTCAACAGTCTCAGAACTCTGATGTACCACGGAATTAGATTAAGTCAAAGTCCGTGGATGGTGTACGTAGAAAAGTGAATGAACCAATATTGCGCAAAGCTGAATTTCTAAAA